GATGTCGAGGAGGCAGCGCGAGATGCTACGTACAACACCCCGCGGTCGCGTGCGCCCAGTCCCGCGGAAGTGCGCGGCTTAACCGCTTTCGGCGGTCGGGGAACAACGCATCTTTTGCGCAACGCCATCTTGTACCCGGTCTCTCTGGATTTGCTTCCATCTGGTTGTCGAAGAACCATTCGGCTAGTGACACGCTTTCTGCTTCGAGAGTTTGTTTTAGCTGCTCGAACTCCGGATGACAATATGAAAGGGTGTTGTCATCGGCATAATTAAAGAGGCGTGTTTTGTTTACAAAATAGAATATATTATTTATAAAAATATTAAAAATTATGGGTCCCAAAATCGAACCCTGTGGTACGCCCTTTGTGATATTTAGAAAAGTACTCGTACTGCTTCCGAGCTGCATGCATTGCTCACGGTTTGAGAGATAGCTGTTACAGCATCTTCCGACAAACCGTAAGCTTTGAGTTTTTCCAGGATCAGATCGTGCGGCAGACAGTCGAACACTTTCGATAAATCCATTAAAATAGCAGCTACATAGTCATTTCTATCCAATGCTGCCCGCCACTCCTCGGTGAGAGCCAACAGAGTTGATTGACAACTATACCCAGGTCGGAAAGCGGACAGCATTGGATTGAAAATGTCTTTAAAAAATACAGCCATCTGCTCAGATATGGCCCTTTCAAAAATTTTGGATATCGCCGGTAGAACACTCACCGGACGATAGTATTGTCTATCAAGCGGGTCCTTCTTTAGCTCATCCGACATAGTCAGATTCAGCTTGTAGAATCGCGTGATTGTCCGTGCGTCCGTGCGTGCGTCCGTCCGTCAACAGTTGGGCACAAATCTTAACCGCTCGACGTACGGTTACGATATTCAGGACGTGGGGGAGTAATCCGAAAACGAGTTGGGATGTTGAAGCTGGGGGTCAAATGTCAAAGGTCAAGAGGTGTAAAAGAAGGGGGAACATTCCCTCCTTAACTTAAAGGGACAGTAGCCTCTAGGATTTTACTGCATACAACTGTACTTACTGTATAACAAATCGTCTATACCCACATGTATTTGTCACCAGATACTTAATTAATTATTTACACATCAACGCTACGAAATTTGAACGGCGCCATGACACCCGCGACCGTGCTGCCACCCCGAAAAAGTTGCGTATTTGACAATTTATTTTGCAGGTTACAGACCGAGGGCTAATCACAAAAGTGCAATTATATTTATACCTAAATGCTATTTAACCGAACGATATTCATTTTAGGGCAAATTTATCCATATTATAACTGAAACTATATGTCGTTTATAAGATATTACAATCCTTTTGCTTTTAAATGAATAAATAAGAAACACCCTCGGTCTGTAGCCATTGGCTGGAAAGTGGTTTTGCGCAACTTATCAGATCGTGCGCTTTGAGTGGCGCCACCGTCGTTATAATCAAACTGTAGTAGTTAGTTTTAAAACATTTTTTAATATTATTTCTAATGGTGATTGAACCATGAAACTTTTTATGTAGCGTAATTATAACCTAAATTAGCTGAAAATAACCCTAGAACCTAGAGTAAACTCTCCCTTTAAGGTATAGGGAGGAAATACAGAATTGCGGCACAAATCTAAACGGCTCGACCTAGGCTCGTGATAGTCGGTGTATAGCATCATGGTAGGAAAAGCCATCACTGTGCCGAAATTGGAGGTCACAGGTCAAAGGTCAATGGGGCACAGGGCAGATTTTAGACATTTTCTGAGGACGTGGCTTAATGGACAGAGTGAAAAACTTTTTTGTTTCACAACTGACCTACCATTTTTATAACTTTATTGAAAGGACCATGAAATGTGCTTTCCACAGACGTGCGAAGAGTAAGTGTCTGATAACCTTTTGACCCTCAAGAGGAGGGCTAAACATGGATTCCTGAACTGCCTCAATGATGTCACAGTGTTCTCATATTCATGTAACATCCATAATCTGGAAAGCCAATATGCCTCGATAGTGCAACGTCTACAGCACAGGATTACGGCCCAAAGGTCCTTGGATCGAATCCCATCAGGTTTTTTATTATTTACCTGTTTTCTGTATTTTTCTATCTTTATCCATTTAACTATTTCTTTCCAATTAAGGCAAATATTTACATGATTTATTTACAACAATTTCATTTAACAACAAATAATTTTTACAACAATTAAATTATTATTTCTTTAAATAGGGTTAGGGTTAGGGTTAGGGCCACAATGCACCATAAAACAGGAGTTTCAGGCACGCGATTTGTATCAACCAATGGGATTTGGGAGGTATGCAGAATGCAGAAGGTTACTGAAATGATGTGTACGCAACTGCATATCTGCATATCTGCGCCTAACAAAGGTGTCACTACACACGACTTAAATGTTACGTTTATAACCGTAACAACAGACCTCAGATGAGCCCAGACGCTCTGCGGCTCTAGTTTTGTATAACGGAGTGACCCTTGCCAACTTCAGTCTATCAGGAAATGCTCCCCGTTTTAGTGTTAGGTTGACAATTCTTGTTATTGGGAAAATTACTTCATCCTTCACCATGTGAATTCTCTTTGGTGATACTTTGTCAATCCCCGTTGCTTTTTTCTTGCCTATTTTGTCAAGATATTTTCTGACATCCCGTTCAGAAACTTCGTGGAAGTTGTCAGGAGGTGATATATTTTTCTGAATAGCTTTTATTATTATACTTGGATGTTCTGTGTCTACTGCACATTTACAGTTTTCTCCAATTTTCGAGGCAACATTAACGAAGTACTCATTAAAAAGATTGCATACCTCGTTTTGATTTGAGACAGTTTCATTGTTGTGTCTCAAGTGAATTTGGTTCTGTTTAGTATTCCCCTTCTCAGAGAGAAAAGGGCGTATGGTGGACCAGAAATCATTCGATTTTGTGCCACCACCGCATCGTTCGAAAAAATATAGCCATATTGCTTGCTTGTTCAACCTGTTTACTTTGTTTCTCTGTTTTCTATATGCTTCAAACCTACTAGTGCTATATACTAGTTACTAACCACACCAACTAGTAGTTAACTAAACTACTAGTTACTAACCAAACACTAAACCCGAATAAAACTCGCCTAGCGGTAGCCTAGGGCGGTGGCCAGAGCTAATTAACTAAGGCTAAGCACAGGCACTTGGAACATCTCAATAAAAAAGGTAAATAACCACGAAATGTATTTACTACCAAAGTCTTAATGTTACTCTCTTTTGCCTATTATTGCTGATAACTTGCTGTAAATGCCATTCAAATGCTCCTCTGCAACACACAAGTACACCGCACGCACTCCACTGTGCACATAATAGGCGAAAGAGAGTAGAGAAACATTAATCCTTTGGTAGTAAATACATTTCGTGTTTATTTACAATTATATTTTTTTTGGGGACGTTCCAAGTGCCTGTGTAACTAAGGGTTCGCCTCCCTCCTCCCACTCCCAGAGCTAAAGATAAAGGGTAAAACTAAAGGTTCTTCTTTACCTTTTACAATGCAGATAATCTAAATCTCGACCAAATGTTCTTTGCACAAATGCGTATAACATATATGCATTATAACCGTAATTATTTAACTTTGTACTTGTTGGTGTACATGGTAATGTACTGTATTAATCATACAGTCCACTCATCCACATGTGCCACAGTGAATTAATTCATAGATCTCGTGCGTACGCACCATAACGCACACCCCTTTGGTGAATCTAACCCCAGTTCTCATATAACACTTGCTGCGTACATGCCCAGTAACAAAGCTTCCTTTATTTACCAACAGGACTTTCAACATTTGTCACATTACAGGCTACATAATATTCTCATTCATGCAGCATAAGAAATAATTCAAATGGAAAGTGTCAGACACATCTGTAAACCCTTATATGTTTGGGATGCGTTAGTGAGCCACAGTGTAAAATTTATCATTTTAAAGCCAGAGTTATTAGCGCGTAATGTGGCGCCACGCGTCATTGTAATGCACGTTGCGTTTGCCACGCCCTCAGATTCGCAATTTGAAAAAACGAACTTTCCAAACTACCTCTATATATCTCGGCGACAAGTAACGATCTCTCTCTCGCCGCCATTGCCATGAACATCCTTCCGACATCGCGTTTGCTTCGCCCTCAGATCGCAGTGGTGAAATAACGCCGTCCTCTCCGCACACAGAACGAACTCGGGACTTCCGAACCGCCGTCATGAACATCCTTCCGAAGAAGCGCTGGCACGTCCGCACGAAGGAGAACATCGCCCGCGTGCGGCGGGATGAGCAGCAAGCGCGCGAGGAGGAGGACGAGCGACAGCGGAGGAGGGACCTCGCCGAACAGGAGGCGCGCACCGACACGCTCCGTCTCCGTGCGAGGAAGCGTCTCCGCGACGACGGCGACTCCGACTCCAATGACGAAAGCGCGGGTAAGCGACGCCGCGTCGACACGCCACGCGGAACCGATGATGACACCGCCGCCGTCGTTGGGAGGGAGGCTCCCTTGCCACGGGAACATGTGAACCTGTTTGCGGACCTTCAGGCGGGCGACAAGCGGACGGGGACGAACCGGGAGTACGAGGAGGAGAAGCGGGCCGAGCAGGAGAAGTACGAGAAGCAGATCGGGCTGCTGACCTACCTTGGGGAGAGCGCGCGCGAGCCACCGCCGTGGTATGCCCGCTCGTTGCCGTGTGAGCCGACCTCGCGCGACGACCCCGACGCCGCCGCGGACGTCGCGAAAAAGTCTCGCATGGACCCGATCATCGTCATGAACAAACATCAGCGCGCAAAATCGACCGGAGCGAAGCCGGAAGCGTTTCGCGCGCTGACGAGCGGCGGCCGACGGGAAGGTGACCGCGAGGGGTTCGGACAGCGGCAGGTGCGCATTTCATCACCACCGGCACCAGGCGGCGGCCGGCGGGAACGTAGCCTCGACGGGAGCAGAGCGACACCTCAGAAGAAGAGCCAGCGCAAACACAAGCACAAGCACAAGCACAGGAGAAGACGCAATAGTGATAGTAATAGCAATAGTGGTAGCAGTAGCGATAGTAAACGCAAGGACAAGCACAGAAGAAAACGCAATAGCAGTAGCGGTAGCGATAGCGACGAGAAAAATGGCAGAATCACAACGAATAAATCGACATCGGATATCAAGACCGTGGTGCAGCTACGTGCGGAGCGCCTGCGACGGGAGAAGGAGGAGCGCGCGAGGACGGAGAGGCTGCTGGCGAGAGTACGGGGGGAGAAACTACCGGAGGAGAAGGCAGCGGAAGCCGTGGAGAAGGAGTCGTGGCGATACAACTCGCAGTTCAATCCCGACTTTGTGCGCAGGCCGAAACCCCGCCATAGCATTTAAACCTAATACGTGTGACGAAACGGTGAATACGATGTACTACGTCCCGTATGTGTTTCCGTTTTAATAATCTTCGAAAAGTAAAAGGAAGGTAATTGTATGTCTTGCGCACTGGTGCAGGTAGGTACATAGTTCGAAAATATGTAAATGCTTGTTGGAAATGAATTGGTTTTACATGGAATTCTAATGCATTTTTTATGTATGTATATAATATCAGGAGTAAGATAATATAGAGGAGTATGACTCTCCAAAACATGTGAATTTCAACATTTGCTTGCCTAATTTTACCGATGATAGGCCCTATATTACGTGCAACTCGATAAAAATTACATCTAAATGAGCGTTGGACATCCACCTCTCACTAAAACTTTACTTTGTTTTCATACCTCTTGCCTTTACGGAGATATAGCTTTGAACGTCACACATGGTTCATAGTGTTTAACTAAGCTGGTGGCTCAGATTGCCCAGACTTCCGAACTGTGCAACATACGAAGGTCTCGCGCAGCATTACCTTGTGGTATTTATAGCTGTGACCTATGACTCTGCCGCGAGTCACGGCTGCGTGTGGAAGTCTGGGCAATCTGAGCCACCAGCTTAGTTAAACACTATGAACCATGTGTGACGTTCAAAGCTATATCTCCGTAAAGGCAAGAGGTATGAAAACAAAGTAAAGTTTTAGTGAGAGTTGGATGTCCAACGCTCATTTAGATGTAATTTTTATCGAGTTGCACGTA